CAACCACGACTGTGAAACTTCGTGTGGACTGATCCAGGATGGTTTATTTACCAACTGGAAGATCGGATTTGATTCTGATCCTCAGCTGCATGACCTAAAACTTCCTACCAAAAAGCAATTCAACCCCACCAAAATACAGAATTTTTACGTCATCTTTAAACCAATTAAAAACAACATGGCCGTCCTCACTTGGTATCACATCCAATATAGTAAATATTTTGTACAAAAATAACTAAGTCTGCTACTTTTTTGAAGCTCCCAACATTTCTCTGGCGGTTTTCGTTTTTTAAAAGCAGACTCCTTTGCAGCGTCAGCTTATACAGACAGTGTCCGTTCTCTGCTTATGGTCATTCAGAAAGTCTGTGTGATTTACCAGTTCGGGAGTATGCCAGTTTTGGAAGAAGCGAAAACAATAGTCTACGTCACCAACCATAACATGATCACCATGGCGATGGCCATTTTCAAAACATACAAAATGGCGGACAAGGGAGAGGAGAAGAACGAGTATTGACCAAAATTCTCGTTTATTCTTGTTTTATCGAGCCTTTTATTTGTCTTTTTGTTACTATGAATTGGGAAGTACCTTGAGGACAGGGAGTAACCATTCTTGCGCTATAGTTCTTCGCTTATCGCGCGCTTAGTAGGCACTGCGTACTCACTGCGTATGTAATCAGTACATCGAAAATAGGTAAGCACGCTAACAAGTTTGTGCCTATTTATTTCATCATTTTTTTATATCATAAGGAAAAAGAATGCTTTGGAAACAACTAAAAAGTGAGTTGTTCTATAATTCATTGTAATTTTTCCCGTTGCATCTGTTTCTCTCCCGCGAGTGAGCGACTGGCCGGAGAAGACGGCTGTAATTCAGGTTAGTGTTTTGGTGCAAGCGAGTCATTTGTGAGTAAAATATCTGTTTTTTCGAATATGATGTTCTGTTGGTTTATGTCTTGAAGCAGTTCCGTCCAGGTATACAACAGGTTTACAAGGGATTTCTGAGGGTATTGTGCCCGCGTTTTCTTCTTGAAAACCCACAAAGTGAAAATCTTACTTATCATCCCAGATCATTTTTTTTTGTCCCGCTTCAAAAAAACCTGTTGCTTTCAATTATTCCACTTTCTGAAGTTAACTGATTATTTGGTCAAGCTTAACAAATGCAAGAGGCTCTTAAGAATTTAATATACATATTGGAAAACTAAGAATTATGCTTCTTACATGCTTTTGGATCTATTGATTAAAATGGGATACTATAGTCTTGGTAGTCCACCGGATTTGACCAGAGGTCAGAGATCAACAAGGTTATGATTTGTTATAAAATATCCTCTTGTAAGGGATTTGATGTTACATCCAAATAATACTAAATTACTGTTTTTAACTCTGGGGTTGCCTTTAAACCAAAGGCATTGTAACTTTGAGGAGCACTTTTCTCCAAGTCTTCTCTGTGGGGACCCTCAAACAATTCTATTAGACAAGGTTTGGCCCAAAATAATAAATGATTACTGCCCTTGGCATGGACACAACATAAGTTTTCCAAAGTTCTTTTTCATAGCCGGTTCTTCATGTTTCTATTGAACAGCACTTTCAAGAAAACAAAGCTCACACATCAGAGTAAAGATACAATAAAAGTTATTTATTGTTATATTTTGTTTTTTTGTAAATAAACATTTTATTTTAGGTCCTGACAGTTAATTCTTTCCGTATTACTGTTTTTGATCCTGACCTGCATGACTCGCTGCCATGGCTACCTGGCTCGCATATTATACACACTCTTTTATCTCAAAATCTTGTTTTTTTAACACCTTCTTGGACATGAAAACCAAAATCCAAAACTTAATTGATATAATGAAGACAGTAGCAGCTGACATCGATTTTCAATAGTTATCTTGTGAGATGTCTCTCATGTATTATTTATTGGGGAGGATGATTTGTAGAAGACGATGCATTAACATAGATGCTTTTTCATCAAGAGAATCTCAATAATTTAGGATTTATTCAAATACACACATATTCGATATTATGACATCAAATGTGGGCTTATTGCTCATGTAAAGGGATTGATGGGGGAGAGTGTGGCATTTTTCATGTTTCTGATTGACCTTTTGCGCAGCACAGGGACTGAACATATTATGTATTTGGCATCTGTAAAGTATAAACAATATTTGACGCGAGGGATTGAACATTATGTAGAGAAAATCTTCACAAGCCTCCACTTCCATGACTCCTTCCTCATCTATCTCCTTTAAAGCCCCTTGAATAAGGGCCACAGTCTCTTCTATGGTTGAATGGTCATTGAGTGTGAGCTTCCACTCACAAGGTACATAAGCCCCCCCTCCAACCTGTTTCCCTCTTACCCATTTTTGAAAGGGTCAAAGGAGGGGCTTTTGTGGTGGGTAAGCCTGTGACCACACTACAAAGAAACAAAAAAACATGGTTAATTCTATTGAGGTAGGGTTGAAGTTGGACATTAAATTTTTCATTACAGTGGAACATAAGGCGAACCTAAAGCAATATTTTGCCCTCAGAGCACAAATATGTCGTTCTGAAGATATTTAGCATTTTGTCTTCCTGGTTGCTTTTCCCAGCTTTTTGGCACAAACGCGACAACATGTTTGTAATATCTCCACATGTTTGTCTACATTTTTGACGGAAATCCTGATCAAAATAAAAGAAATCAATGTAAGAACCTACTCACACTGATTTAAAACTAATTCCACACACATGATCTGGATCAATAAAGTGATTTCTAGATGAGAGTCGCATAAATTGCCGGTGAACACGACCAAAAACAGACCTGATCGATTATAACTGAAACTACATATACAGGCTAAGGCATAACCATCAATATCAGTAACCCTTCCTGTCCGTTGGCAATTTTCAATGTGTGGTTGCCATTTTTACTAGGTTGTTGCCATCGATGAAACTTTGCCTGAACACACTTTAAACGTTGTAGTTTTGAGGAAAATTAGTCTTGACTTCGTAAAAATTCGGCAACATACTGAAAACTAAACATAAAGTCATGTACTTACATTCGATACCCGTCAAGATGGCGGCGGCGGCGTCGAAGGCCATTTGAAAACTGTCGCTTTTAACTACCGAAATGTGGCAGGAAAGTTCCCTTGACATTCAAAAAGCAAGGAGAAGGCTTCTTCACCGGTACTGCTAGCTTGGAAGTCCCGGATATTGAACGAGGAGAAGTGGAACAGGCTTTGAAAAAAGCTCCCTTGTTTCTTGCGATTATTTTTTCCTATTTTTGCGTGTTTTTAGCAGAACAATGGAATCATGACGTCATCGCTTCTTCCAAAACTGGCATACTCCCGAACTGTTTACGTTCTGTTAGTTATGTGATTTTTTCTTTCTTTACCTTATTGGGCAGTGGATTTGCCCAAATTTTCAGGCAAATTAAGAAACTAAGCAATATAAATTTTATAGCATCAAGGCGGCATATTAAAAGCGCCTCACTTCGGGCAGATGGCGTCGCTCAAAAACGCCTCTGTTTAAGCTCCCTATTCTGACGTGAGACACCCCTGATTGACCCCTTAAAGCGTTTATAGTCGGGAGAATTTGTTTAAAGATCAAAGCATTTTCTCTTAATTTGGCTGATCATTTCATTGATTTTCATTTCTTTTTTTCTTTTCCTTTTAAATGATATTGTTCGGAGAAAAGTAGCCTGCTAGCAAGCTCTCTTAGGTGCTCTGGCGGCGGGGCGAAAGGAGAAAACTGACAATAGAGATTTAAAGGTTTACGGAGTGTCGCCCATCTTTGAACTTTAATTTCTTGAGCCTGTTCTTCAATACTCGCCTGCATAGCAGAGTTGGCGAGACTTGGGGCGCGCGACCGAGTAATTCCTTAGATGCTTTTATTTGTCGTTGCCTTGGTTGTATAATGTCGCGATCAGAAAGGGGATGAGTTGCACTCATATGCGGTGGCTGATTACCGCTAATTATATTAACCACCTGATTCTGCCAGTTACGTATAGGCTAGACTTGCCACAAGTCGACCTTACGAGTTTCTAAACGAGCGACGAAGTCGTCAGAGGTCTCGGACGAAGGACTTTATGGAAAGTTCAAGTATAGGTAACCTACGAGCAGAGGTCTCTCTCTTGCATGGCTTTTAGCGTGTACGAAGTCGCCGGTTCGCGTGGCTTGTCTGCCGTGTGGTTAGTTTCTTTACGCCCCGTGAGACGTAAACAAACTTACTACGCGACAGACAAGCCACGCGAACGACTTTGTAAACGCTAAAAGCCATGAAAGAGAGTGACCTCTGCTCGCAGGGTACCTATAGGTTACCTAAATACTTACTTGAGTGTCAGGTCTCTAACCTAAACGAATGTGCCTAAGACTTTTTGAGTATAATGTCGACCTCTGGAAATGAGGTCTCCGTCGTTAAGTCAAGAAATGTCTTACATTTGTACAATAGAATCGTTATTTTCCCTTTTCTGCAGACTGATGAACTTCACAATATGCAGGATGTTCCTGTTGACCGAAAGGGAAGAGAAAAACATAGACCGTGAGTATCACTCAAAAAAATATTGTTTCCCTATTTTAAAATAACTTGGGAGGCAGAAGTAATAATTGCCTGCATAGAGCATACTTTGTGTTTAGCATTATTAATGCATAAAAAGTTGTGTGCTCAAAAATTATATCAGTAAGGATGATGTTGCAGTATATTGTTTATTTTTATTTTTCATTTTTTCAGGGAAGATATTTCAGCTAAGCATCATAGAAGAAACACATCAAATGACATCTCAAGGTAACTATAAGTTGACTGATGTTCTCAGTACTGACATTCTAGAATCAGGTCTCCCTCTGTTTGTTCAAGTCCTCCAGATTTTCACCTATTTGTTATTTCTGCTTAGAAATCAGCCTGTCACCAGTACATTGAAGAATCAGAAGGTAATAATGATTATTGATGAACAGTCGAACCTCCACTTGGAGGTTACAGCAATTGCACCAAAGTCATTAACCACTTTTTTTTTTACACTAAAGGCTAAAAGTAGCGATCTGATGTTTGAAGATATTGACGACGACCTAGATCAAGAACTTAGTCACTTAACCTTAGGTATGGTAGATCTATACGTGTAAATATGATGGCCTGGAAGCTGTTTGATCCGACTGTAAATCGATTCTCCTCGGGAACCCGCTGGATAAACCTGGATTTGTCCATTGTCAGTGTAAGACCTATTAAGATCAATAAAAGGAGGTTTTATTGACTCCAAAATACCCTAGCTAACATATTGAATCGTGTGAAGCTGCTGGTAACACCATACAGTCAAATCCCGCTTACGGGTACTCGGTTGATTAGGACGCGTCATTATTGCGAATAGTTTGCTTTGTCCCTGGCCTGGGGAAATAGAGCCCTTACATTTTCTCTAACTTCGACCCCTTTATACGGAGACCCAGTCGATAACATAAACTTTCTCGGTATCCGTGTTAATTGGGTTTGACTGTACACAGAAAAAAATAAATCATTAAGATCTCCCAACAAGAAATGGATCCGTAAACAAAAACAAACAACAAACAAATTACTCCGTATGTGGACCTAGCGCTTGCGTTAGAGCGGGGCTTGAACTTGCAAATCCAATTCCATTGCTCTAACCAACCTCTTACCAAGGCCAGTTTGCGCTATCCGAGTTACCAGAGGAGGCTTGGAACCGAGTGCGAGGCGTCCTCGGCGAATTTTCCCGACAAGCTTGACAGGTGACGTCATATCCGAAATCGCCGAGGACAACTGGGGACGAGGCTGGGTTCTAACCTCTCTGCGACGGTTCCTCCAAATGTAGCACTTACGTCCTTCTGCACTTAGAGTTTGGTTAATTGAAAGCTGCTATAACAAAATATTTTAAGTTTACTCATATTTTAGGTCCAAAGAAAATAGCGCAACTTGATGTCCAAAACAAACCTATCACTTTGGAAACAGCAATGGTAGGTGCAATCTTATGGTCTTGACATTTGCATCTAACTAGCGAAAACTTCCAGTTATTCTTTCTGTATGTTATTGAATTCTTTTTCTTCTTGTAATATGTTGAACTTTACATTGCCTATGCGTAATGTTTTGTCCCTCCTAGATTAGCTTAACTATTTGCGGGGTATACAACACAGTAAAACTTTATCTTTTTTAATAACTGAAGTATTGTCGTATTAATATTGTTGTTGCTGTGCATGAAAAAGGCCGTTATATCCTTTTTGTAATTATATTTTGAAGACAAGGACTTTGTTATAATACGTTCCCCTTAGCCTATTACATGCTACGCCCTCCTAGTCATTATCGTCGCAAGCGACTCCCAAAAGAGAACGCCTGATCACGCTGGCTCACTTGATTTAGGCAATATCCTGAGTATCCTGTCGCCTATTTACTGATGCATGTGTTGATCACATTAGGGCTTGAAGAATCTTATATTTGGAAATGCCAAGTCGAGCTTTACACCAGAATGGAGAAATCAAAGCTTTTCATTCTGTGACTTATATGGACTGGAATACGGCCTTGTACAACTAAAGGTAAGGTCAAATTAATGCGAATATTTGGCCTGAATCTCTCGGGTGAAAGGGAAATTGTTTGAACTATAGAGCGGTGACCGGTGGTCCAAGCTGCGACCGTTTTGGTTGCCATGGTGATTAAAAAACAAAAGTTGCCATTAAAAGCCAATTGGTTACACACCTGTTTTAGGCGGTAATGCGGCCAAGCCGTTGTTTTTTCAATAAGTAAGTTTTTAGTGAGATCACATTTGCGTGAAATAGTTATCAGTTACGCTCCTTGCGACCATTATATGATTTTAGGTTGCAAAAAGGCAACTCTGTAGCACTGACACTCTTCAGATTTTAAAACAAATGAATAAAATAATTAATTCATTAAAGGAACCCTAGAGTGATCTGCCTCAAAGTTCTCCTTGTAGTATCTTTGCTTTATAAAACAGAGTGATTAGATTGTAATATTAGGGGTTATCGTTGTTGTTGTTGTTGTTTTTCAGGGTGGACCCTGTGGAGTGCTCGCTGCTGTACAGGCGTTTGTCCTCAAGCATTTGCTGTTTGGCGGAAAGAAAGGGGACTCTAAAAAGTACATTGTGTTTCAGATACAAGAGTATATGATGTTTACTCATTTTTTTCTCTAGGATATCTTTAAATACCAGGAAAATGTCTATTGGTTTGATGATTTAGTTTAATTGTAAATAATCATTTTCAGTATTCGTCCCTTTTTCTTGCAATATTCTGTACCATTGACGTCATTTTAAATGGACTGAGCGCAGCTGCCAAAGGCTCCTTTGTGTGCTGACGTCCGAGCTTACTGTTCACATAAAATATAAAATATATTAAAATATATTAAAATATATTGTAAGAGGGCACGTCTGTTGTCCTCTCATCCACGACTCTTGATTCATTCGTTTGTTTTACCGGATATCGCAAGCATCTTCCAAAGTTGGTCAACGCTAGCTGGTTATGAAGAATATTAAGGTGTTTCGATACAGTTTTTCAGAGGCCATACCGATATTTTTCAAACGCCTTATAAGTGGTTTTTCCTCGTCCGATCGCTATAAAATTTTCACCTATAATTGCCTATGGATTGAAATTTGTGAAAATGTAGTTTTAAGTAAAATCGATATTACTATGACAACAATAAACAAAAAACTTTGAAATTGGTAGAAGCTGAATTTTGTGTTATCTAGACCAGCTACTGAAAATCCAACACTAGGAACTTAAAGTTTGGTGTCTAGCAAACGATCTCCGCAAGAAGTAAAAAATTCTGTATGTTTGAATTCGACTAAAACGAAAATATATTTCAAACCTACATTTTCAATAGCCGTGATAGATTATTTAATAAAAACGTTATAAATGATTTAAATTATTCTGAAGTAGCGTCAGAATGCTGCTTAACATAGTATTTTGATGCTAGGAAATTTTGGTGTATTTTTGTTCGTGCGATCTTGAAAACTTAGACGTTTTCTCACCACCTGTCTAAGTGCAACTTCATTCAAAATTTGGACTTTTCGCACTTTTTGTATATCTCTGAAACGACTCGAACGAATTTTTTTAAAATCTCCTCTCATAATCTTCATAATGTATATAATAATGTCTGAAACTTTCATTAAGATTGATTCCCTGCAACACCTTGAAATTTCAAGACAAACCTATCCTACGATATCGGTCAAAAATCTGCGTTACAACAGTCACTGTTTTGACGTTATGGTAATTTTTCCAAAGTAATGCGCACTATACATACGTCCATGACCAGTACATTTTAGTTTGAATTTATCGCATCTTTTGAATGTAGAACACTGACTGGTAATAGTCACACTGAAATATACTAGTCATGGATATATGTATTGTCCGCATTAATTTACTTCTAACGGAGGTTATTTGCTAAACATGAAACTTTTTTTCCTACTGTTGGATTTTCAGTAGCTGGCCTAGATCGCGCAAAATTAGGCGTTTATCAATTTCAAAGTTTTTTGTTTATTGTTGTCATAGTAAAATCACTTTTAGAACGATTGAAAAATATCAGTATGGCCTCTGAGAAACTATATCGAAACACCTTAAAGCTGGGGGATTTGAGCCAATCAGAAACGGAGAAATTAAATGGCGATAATAATTTTTTTTCCCATTACCCTTGTCATTTCCATTCCTAGTAACAACTTCTGAGAATAACTCAGCCATGCCTTTTTTTTTCTGCTGCTCCTGTCCGGACGTGGCGATTATGGAAACTAGTTTTATCTAATCTTTTAATAATTCCTATTTCATGTCCATTTTAGGAAACTTCAGCCTTCTTCCCGCGAAAGAACCAAAGCTCTTACATCAGCTATTAGTGAAATATTATGGAGGGCTGGTGACAGCAGAGGTGCAGTAGTAGGCTTGTAAGTTCGAATTTAGTTTATGCATTATTTAAAAAACGAGCAGGAGTGTTTTGCCGGGTTTGAAACACGAGGCGCTGCCGTGAGTGATGTGTCGTTTTCGAGTGATTGTCATCGGGTACTCCACTCTGCTCAAGGTGGCCTCAGCCGAGCCGCACGTTTGGACTGCCAGTGCCGGTAGTCTTCTGGGTCAGCCATAATAGGGACTTTAAGATCCAACGACGCGGACGGCAACGCGAAAGGAGAAAAATCAATAGGTTTTATGAGCAAACAACAACTTTGAACAAGCAGACGAAATTTTATCTCTTTCTGAACATGGTTATGGTCCCTAGGAATTCAACTCCAGGAGGGTTCGCCTACATTCGACATAGTAAGAGGGTAATGATTGCGATAAAGACTGAAAGAACGCAAATTCACTTTAAACGACGTTCTGGTTGCCGTCGCGTCGTTGGATCTTAAAGTCCCTAATGGTAGCCTGCGTCGCAGACGTAATCTTATCGCAGTTAGTAACGTCTGCGAAGCAGCCCCGAGGTTCTTGTTCGACGCCCCAAACGGACTTAATGAATCAGTTATCGGAAGGGCGTTTGGATTTCCCTTCAACCCGAACAGGCCAATCACGGCGTGTACTCAATCCTGGTACACAGCAGGGGCCCAGAAGGCTCTGAAGTCCAACCAACATTAGTTTGCGAGGCACTATGGCAGAGAAAGTTGTTCTGCTAAGTATGATATCTTGAACTAGGTAGCGACCTTTCACGATTTGACTACGAATACAAATTTTCGAGTACCAGTGAAACTTTAGAATTTCGAGCTACTTTTATCCTCCGAATTATAACCCTTTCATGTTGCTAACCAGATCGGTGTTTATATATTATGTAATTATATTTGACACACGAAGTTGGTTTGAAAAGTGGTACATGTGCTTGTACTACAATCTAAGGGTGCGGCCGTCCCTCATAGGAAGAACGGCGACGGCAACGACAAACGCCAAAAGTAGAGCCTTTTGGTACGTTATTTTACCGTTCTCTGTCTAAAGATGCTTTTTACTGAATGTGGCGAACTGTGGAGTGGGTGACCACAAGACGACGAATGTTTCCTCCTTTTTTTGATCGTCGATGCGATCAAAAGTTGTTTTCGCTGTCGTCGACGTTGTCATTGCTTAAGCTTCTCGAATCACATCCCTTGAGACCATCGTAATAGAAAACAAAACCAAAATAAAACATCAAACGAAACAAATCAATAACAACAAGCAAGACATGGCCTTTGGTTTTTCCTTTCATGGGGTTGTTAGTTTTGCCCTTACAATCTTTTCTTTTTTAAAAAATAAAAATCGTGCAACATCTTTGCGGATGGAGCAATCACCAAATCAAAAAACAAAAAATATTGAAAAGACACCTCAACTCTGTAGCTACAATAATTTCGACAACGCCCGAAGTTACATCCCATTTAGTTAATTGTAACAATTTATTTCAGACCTACTGGTGATTCTAATGTTTTTGGTGCTGGGCGATACAAACCGGACCAGTTAACAGAGGCGGTAAGTACTGCAATTTCCCATAAGATCACCCGACGCCTGCCCCCTGATAGAACGTTTTAAAGCAAGATGGGACATTTCACGTCAAAATGGCTCGATCGTGACATTTTTACGGGAAAATAGGGTGCCTGCACCGTAAACAGTGTTGCACTTGTATTGAGAAGTCACTTTCCTCCTCGTCAAGGGTGACTTCGTAATACATGTTTTGCTTTACTGAAAGAGATAAGTCTCCGCAATGGTGTTCGCATTAAACCTCTTTAACGAATATTGTTCATGGTGGATGTGAGATTTGCAGGTAGACTGTTGTTACTGTAATTGCTGCCATAATGCAGTAATGGTATTTTGTTCCTACACATTTGCTCAGGGTAGATTTTAGCTGTTCAAACCCGGGTTAAGATGGCAAAAGGAACAAAGAGTGAAGTCTGAATTCAGGTTTGAAATCTAAGAAAAATAGAAAATTCAGTTAAATTGTTTTTTTGTCTACACACTGATGATTGCATACTCAAAAAAAAGAATAGTAAAAATATTTCTGAGAAAATGCTTTATTAAAAAGAAAAAGAAACTCAGATAAAAATTTAACCCCGAGTTTGCTCTAATCGGCCTTCGAACAACTGGGTCCTGCAATGAAAGCGATTACCTCTTTGTTATTAAATTTGACAAGACGTGTCCAACTGATGTACGAACGCAGTTAAGATTTCGCCGAACGTGGGCCAATTTTAGTTGGACTTTGTTCGATGACCAACTATTATTTGCAGCCCTGCACAATTGATAAAAATGGGCCTTGTTTGTTTTCTTACATCAAGATGAGGCTATTTTGCTGTTGTACTCTACTTGCAGTTTTGTAATTGTGAGTTAATCACATCTGCTCACTCACTTTTTTTCTGTAAACCGCAGCTTGTGTTATACACCTTCAAGTCTTCTGAAAGTCTTCTTAAAAACTTGCAAAACTTGCAAAACTTGCAAAACTTGCAGTTTTGTAATTGTGAGTTAATCACATCTGCTCACTCACTTTTTTTCTGTAAACCACAAGTCTTCTGAAAGTCTTCTTAGTTTTATCGCGCCAAATATATCGCAGGTACGTAGAATTCTTACTAGGTTACTCTATCCTTACCTGTTGTATGTTTGCACAATTAACAATTATTGAATGAGTCTGGATAAGGTAGTTTTTATTTCTCCTTTTCACGAGGTACCTTTGCTTACCTTTTAACCATTGTATCTGTTTTATGATGTTTTTTAAAAAGGATTATTTTATTAAGCGTAAATCATTGGTGAAACGATTACTGAAGTCGGTTTACTTAACAGCAAAAGTGATACTTGATCTGCCCACCAATGACATATCGCGATATTCCCAAGTGCTTGACCTTGTCCGATAAATGCTTATTGCCTGGAAACAAGGGCCGAAAGTTAGCGGTCAGTAATATGCCCCTTCGTTCTCAATGGAGCAAATCAGAACCGCCTCAATGAAGAGGAGAAGTCGTTACGTCACGTTGCCATGGTAGCAAAATGTCTGGATCTGAACAAACCGTGGCCCATGGCACAAAAAAAAAAAAAAAAAAAAAAAAACGATAAAGTTAACATGAATTCCTTTCCTGTGCATGATCGCACTCAGGAACAAAACAGTAGCCCATACTTTTCTTCCATCGTTCGACAATGCAAATGGCCGTCCTTGTCAAGAAAGATTGTTAAGATCCAGATCATGATTTTGCCACCATGGTAACGTGACGTCACACTTCTCCTTTCTCCAGAGGAGTTTGCTTGCTGCTTGTGGTTCACTTACACTAACATTGCCAACGTGACATCACGGAAGGTCCTCATTAGGCTTTTTCAATCCAGTTATTCCGACTGTAATCCTAAAAATGCCTTTCAATGGACAGATTTGCTCTTGGACTGAATACAGCCTTTGTTTACAGTCGACCGAATGACAAAACGTCGATATCGTAAGTCTAAATGAAAGGTGTTTAGAGCGCGTCTCCAAATTAAGTGATGTATCGTTTTTCAGTGCATCTGGTTTGCCGAATTTCCGTTGTCCAATTCCCGTATCACTTTTATAATTTCACCCTGGATCTTCATTTCGTTTCCCTCTAAAATCCCGGATCCCAGCCGTCAAATAAGCTAAATCCTGGATCCCGAAAAGCCTACTAAGGACCCATCCCGAGGGGGACTCCCATATGAAAGGGGCGGGGATACTCGCCGGGAATTTTGAATTACACCCCCTAAAGGAGACCAACCTGGGCGTGGCCCAACCTTATTTTGACCCCTAAAAGAGACCATTCTTAAAACAGAGACATTTTGTTACAATAATCTTTAGGTACTGATGTTATACTGAGAACTTTGATTACATGAATTGCATAAATAAAACGAATTGAAAATATATAACTTTGTTTATATTTCTTCGCGTGCAACCCTAAAAGAGACCATTACGGCTAAATGTAATGTCGTTTTGCCCAGAACATCCGAAGGGAGACAAAAATCCGAAATTTGTACCCCTAAGCGAGACGACAAGAGCCCCGCCCCTTTTTATATGGGAGTCTCCTGGGGGATCCTCTAGTTCTTCTTCAACGTCCTGCGCTTGCCGGTCTAAAATTACAATGGTTTACTAGAAATTTTATCACAGGCATATTAACAGCTTATACTATTAGAGCCAAACGTAATCCTGAATTATGTACTTTCCGTATTACTGCATCTCATCTAGAAATAAGTCCACTTTTTTTTTCCATTTTCAGTTTGAATCTGATAGTAGCAGTGGATGTATTTTACTGTTGTATTCTGTGATATTGTCCAGGTCAATACGAAAGTAAGTGAAGCTCTAGTAAATGATATTTAATCCTTTAAGCCCTAATACCTACATACAAATTCTTCAAACTAATACTAGATATTTCCTCAAAGCATTTTCCTTTCAATGATCATTTCTTTAATTTAAGTTTACGGCAAATAGTTGACGAGGGGCAAAGAAGTACCAATACCAGTAGAAATCGAGAGTAAGCCTTTGTGTTATAATTTCGAGAAAAATAATCTGCTAGTATTATATTGCAAATTTAATGTAAGGGAGCTTCTGGTGATTTTGATCAAGTATTTAGTGGTCTTAAACTTTTCTTGTTGTTCTTGTTTAAGAGTGATATCTGATATGGATGAACCTCAAGGCAGGCTGATGGGTGCTCACGACTATTGCACGCAGGTTAGATTTTCAATGCAGTACATGTATACCACAGTCTTTTTCATTTACGGGTATGGATAAATCTGACGACGACAATGACTACGAGGATGATGATGATGATGATGATGATTCCCCCTACTTTAATCTTAAATGGAATGGATAGTCTTTGTAGGTTATGCCTTCGCGCTCCTATTTATTTTAATAGAGTGTGCAATATAACACCATTCTGAGCGCAGTTTTCCCAGGTGCGGTTTTAAAGTGTTCCCTTAGTCCTTTGTATCCTCCAAGTGTTTTGTTACTTTGTTTGTTTGTGTCCGTCTTTCTCTCGTTGTTTCTTAATAGCTGAAATTCCGTTGTTGTTGTTGTTTTTTGTTTTGTTTTTTCATTATTTGCAGCAAAAGTCTCCTTCTTATTACATGTATTGTCCTTTACAGGAACTGGTGAACTTGTTAATAACTGGAAAGGCTGTCTCAAACACATTCGATAACATCATGGAGGTTGATACGGGGTGGTCGAAAAAGGTGTGGTATTTAAGACGATATCATGAAAGATATTTTTCGTGGTGGTTAATGTGTTTAAAGGGTTTCGTTATCGTTTGCCTCACGATTGTCACTATTAATCGCGACTTTTCGGCCGCGTACTGCTGGTCCTCGTCAGGTGATAGTGTCGATTTCCTGAGTGAGACTGTTTGTACCCCCGTGGTTGTTAATGATTGGTGTACAGTCGACCCCCGCTTTACGGACACCCCGGTAATACGGACACTTTCTACGCCCCCTCAGTGTCCCTTTTCACGGAGTTTGACCGTATTACGAACCGTAGACGATTTTCATATGTGACAGTTTTACTTTTCCTGGGAAAAAAAAGCCCTTTACTGTTTCTCTTAATTCGACCCGCTTAATACGAACACCCCGTTAATACGGACACTTTCTATGGCCCCTCAGAGTCCGTATATACGGGACTTGACTGTTTCACGAGCCTATTAAAGACGATTTTCATTAATATATAAAGAAGAGTTACAACGATAGAATGTGATAAAACCCACTATCTCGAGAATATTTGAAGGAATTTCCTTATTATATTCGACTGTTGATGCCTTTTTGTTTTAGCTTCGTCCCTCGATGCTGTTTAGCAAGGTTTTGTTTTAGACATTCTGTTTAATCTTTCGACTTAATCGTTTTTAGTTAGGTGATAACATTCAACGATCTTTTTTTTTTTTTTTTTTGCAGAATGTCTTCAAAGGGATAAATAAACAAAGTGACGTTGGGTTTCTGTCCTTATTTGAACATTACAAATCATGCGAGGTTGGTGATGACTAGAGATATTTTTCTGTAGAGAGGAACGGGGGAGTGTAATGAAGGGGCCGGGAGGTGCCTACACACTGTCACCGTCTTTAAGGAGCTTAAGCAGCGACGTTTTTGAACGACGTATGTCAATCGAAAGTGAACCTTTTCTTTTTTAGTATTCCTTGACGCTACCAAATTTGTATTGCTAGATGATTTGCCCAAAAGTGTGTTCAAAATCACGGCTCAGGAGTGCAAAAAGTCCACTTCCGGTTGACGTACGTCCCTCAAAAACGTCGCTGGTCAAAAATCCTTTTATCTTTCTACACACCTTCAAGGCTGCTTCCTCTTCCTCCTTTGTACCAAGGTTAAGAGAGTTTTAATGGAACAGAACTTGTTGTTCTTTTTTAATACATCGAGGCAAATCTTAGGGCCGAGCTCCCGTCCATTATAGTCCGGCAGCGTTAAAAATGAACAGACTGTTAGATTTCATGTTTAAGTATTCCAATAGGTAATGACTTGGCAGTCCCTTTGTTTTTGCGTTTGATTACACGTGGCTTATGTCCACTCTAAGAAACCCTGCCACTAAAACTTGTAATGTAGAGCTTTTTGTATTGGCAAATCCAGCAGATATTGGCCAAAAATTTTCTGTCTTCGTGAACTTTTGACGTCTTTGTTTGATTTGTTACTAAGTTTTTTCGCGTATGCGATGTCCATTTGAGAAGTTGAAAGTTCATTTTCTGGGAGAACCTGTGGCTCGTCCCCCCGTTCCCCCGCCCCCTCCAGCAGCGCACTCCCAGACAAAGCGTTATAGTTATAAGCCGTGGAAACGATATAGTTTTCGAGGTCCTCATTCCTTTTGCTAGTTTCAATTGGGACGTACGTGGTCTCTGCTGTACATTGTCTTCAATGATTAAACTTGCTTTTTAAATAATCGTCTGGGGGGTGGTCTCTATATATGTTTAGACGATCGTATGGAAATATACCCGTGATGCGATGTAGAATTATCCAAACAATTGTGGCGATCCAATCGCGAGCATTCAATCCTCTGGACAGAACCAACCTCTGTAGATAGGCCGGCTCATATATTTTGAATTGCAACTTCCTAAGTAGAAAATAGAGGCGAGTAAAACAATCCAGATTATTATAAGGAAATCAGGCTTAAGGTTTAACTGGAAGGTGCAAAGGACCAGTTGTGCTAGCCTGCAAAACAGGCGCTACACGTTTTTCAGACAAGCGCGAAGCGGGCGTCCCGCTTTTCCCCGCCGCGCTTGTTTCTCCGATCGCCTCCACGCCTTCTTGGTGCTTGTCCGAAAAACGCGAAAAAAAAAGGGCCCGTTCTCCATGCTACAGTTGTACTGACAGAAGAAACAAAAAGCAAACTGCGGTGATAAACATAAAGAAAGATAAACGCATTTATGTTTATCACAGCAATTTGTTTTCTGTTTCTTCTTCAGCTTAGATGGCCAAAAAACAAGCGTATCTACAATGTACTGACAGACTTCATCTTTTCATTTGTTACAGGTTGGTGTGAATTACAAGACTCCCAATTATCCTATTTGGGTAATATGCAGCGAGAGTCACTTCAGTGTCTTGTTTTCTATCGACAGAAATCTCTTGCACGACTGGTAAGCTTATAGTCACTAGTAAATGGATGTATTCACACTAGAGACGGATTATCCGTCTCAGACGGGTTATCCGTTAGATAATACGTCTTAATTTGAATATGGAACGGATTTTGGATGGATAATCTGCCTGACTTTATCCATTTGTATTTCCGTCAATTTTGACGGATTTTGATGGATTATCCGTCTCAAACGGATAATCCATCTCTAGTGTGAAAACGGCCATTGATACTAGCCAATTTACGGCATTTGAACTTATCTTTAGCCTGTTTTTATTCTTTCTAAATACTTGTATTCTTTGATGTTTTCACTAAAGGCCTGTTATGTGGTAATGAGGAGACTAATTCCTTCAGTTTGATTAAAAACACTGATGTCATAAAAGAGATGCTACGTTCTGGTCACTTGTAGTGCTTTGCCGAAGGGTTAGAAAATAGTTTCTATCAGCGATCAGTTTACAAGCAAATAATGTTGGTCAGACACCAACTGTATGAAGGAGTGGGAAACTGTCCACCTACCCCTCCCCTAAGCCAACATTAACACTTACTTCTCACCTAGGGCAAAATGTTGGCTTAGGGGAGGGGTAGGTAGGCAGTCTCCCAGAAACGTATAATGATCGGATCAAAGCGTGCAAACTCAGAGGCAACGTTTTGGTATTGAGGTTTCTGGATTACTGACCACCTACCCCTCCCCTAAGTCGACGTTAACTTTTATTTCTCAGTAAGAGCAAAATTGTTACATAGGGAAGGGGTAAGTGGTCCAAGCTTTGGGCACCAGAGTACTCTTGTTAGACGCTTATACTAAGCTTAGCAAGCCATGGTGCCCACACGACCGAGGCTTCTCCCAGTCTCTTTAGTATGAGAAACCTGGGTGTAATGCTTTCTTCCCCCGCCATCTCCCCCGCTAGGAAAGGAAATGTCTGCATCTAGGCTATCGCAGGGTTACCGCTAGCAGTATGTCGCCGGGTTCCGTTAATACACCCGAGTGAGGAGAGACAACGTTAAGGAATAAACGCGATGGCAGGGCTTGAACCCCGAACTACGGATCCGAAGCCAGAGGTCCTTGCTGGCCGGAAGTCCTAGTCATAATGGTCGAAACACTCGCGGATTTCTTCGCCCCTTCCGCTTCAATGTTTATACAAAAAAGTCCAAGCAATCTCTTAAAACCAACACTGGGAGAAGGAGACCTCAAGGGAATCGGAGCTTGTATTCGTGGAATGACTTGGTTTATCTTGTTTTTTCATTGTGACGATAATTTCAAGTGATAGTGATTGCAGGATTAGATGTGTGTATATTGTCCCATCTAACTGCAATATGGGAGTCGACGTAGGCTCTAGCCATTGATTGTTTGTTTGATTGATTGATTGATTGATTGATCGATCTATTAATTGATTGATATACACAGGAGGTTAGAGAAGAAGTTTGATCTTTATTACTATGATGGTCTGGCAAGGCAGGATGAGGAGTTAAGATTGACAGTTGGTGAGCATGCATTACTTCGTGTAAAATGTCAGTGTAACTTATATGGCCTTGCTTGGGTAGATAGCTGTTACAGGCTAGATAATGGCCTGGAAAAAAGATACTTCAAGGTCATGAAAAAGTCAGGGAAGTTCTTTTGAGTCAGGAAAAATTAAAATTATTAAGAAAAAACTAGCTGAACATTGTAATTATAAAACCACTGGTTAAATACCATTAATAATTATGGAAAAACGCATTTCGGGTTAATATAATCTCAGAGATGTCTTTTGTTGATGTAATTACGATAGCGTCCCTGTAATATGGATGACATCATCTCATTTCAATTGAAGCCTCCTTTTTCATGAAATAAAGATAGAAAAGCGTTTTGCAAATAAAAACAAGAAGAAAAAAAGAAAAGAAAAAAAATCAACACGATGAAAGCGTTTTACAAAACGTACGTTTTAGGTGCCTGAAAACGCCGTTTAATTGTGGACGGCAGAAGACTTAAAACGGACGAAAAAATGGTTTCAAAAATATTCGGATACGTGTGGACGTAGCCTTTAAGTAATTTCATCTTTCTCTTGATAAAGATACAACAAAAGAATGCCCAGAATACAAGGACACTGATCTTGTGCCTCCACTGGAACACTGCATACGAACAAGGTGAGACCAAGTGACAGAGTTCATTGTCAGAAAAGTGGCCCTTTCAGGGCTTTGAATTTGGCTGCTTGGCACAGAAATACTGTGCTTGGAGGAAAGAAACCTAATAAAATAATATAAGGTCCGTTTTTCTTGTCGTCCTGGTACGTTTCTTGCTCTCTATTAAATCGTTTTTGTACCCCGTCATCAAGGCTCATTTTCAACCATCAGGCAATGTGTCTAGTCATTCAGATTAAACCTCGTCAGCCCTACACTGTACTTTCACATGTTTCTATATCTTGAGTGTGTAGTTCTAACTTTAGAGTTTGTGCATGAAATCCTCGCTATGGTGTTACCATTCAAATGAAACCTCTTTAGCCATACTTTCAGATGTTTCTTTTAATTTAGTATGTTGCTGTTACGTTGGAGTCTGTGGACGAAATTCTGCGAGGTGATCATTCAAAAGAAACCTTTTAAGCAGTACTTTCATGTCGTGATGGTATTGTTTTTGCTTAGTTTGGTGCTTAGTTTGTCGGCCAATTTTTAAGGTGTTACTATCCAAAAACCTATTGCTTGCTCGTTAAAGGGGTATTTGGAATCTCTTTGATGACGAAAAGTTTAGTCGTTTTAGGATTTCTTCTTCTGACGCAGAAACAGGCGTGTTTGATGTATTTGTTGACGTGTCGGGCTGAATAAAAGCTAGAAATATTTTATGCACCCAGTCAAAAGGTATTTTTTAACTGAGCGGATTCTCGCTCGCAGATTGGTTGAGAGCTTTGTTCGAACAGAGTGCAGACCATGGAAATAACGTCATGATGGCGCAATTTGTTTTTCTCTTTCTCTCGCGCGCGATTTTCCGAGAAACGTCAACGTGAATGGACACCAAAAACTGGCAATGCTATTGTAAGAAACAAATCGACAACAGTTTTTTATGGTCTGTACTCTTTTCGACGATAGAAATGACGTCAAAATGTTCAAAACTTTGCAATGAAACCGCGGCTCCTGGTTCCACTTGCGTTTTAAACATTGTGACGTCATTTCCAGGGTAGATAAGATTACAGTCCATGGATTGTTAAAACCAGCTTGTAACATGACGCAGAATGCAGTAATTGGCATACGATAATTCAGCGTCCTTGTCCTAAGATAGTGGTAAACTATTAAACCCTTGTGTATTTTTTTTTTACTGATCGCACAGGTGGAAGAATGCTGTCATAGACTGGAATGGATCCGAACCTATCTTATGATGTTCGCCCCTTTTTGTAATCAGGTATCAAAGCCAGAGGACTAAAGAATCAAGACCTAACGATCCGACAATGGCGACGTCCACGAAAAAGTCGTTGAAAACCAGACTTCGCATCCTTTCAAGCTTTTTGGCGATTATCCCTAAGTTACTTCAAGAAGAAAATTTAAGTTGGAGCTGAAGAGAAGAGACTGCGCCCGATATTAAGACAGAGATGTTAAAATTTATTGCTGTGCCCAGTTCGATTCCTGTTCTCAAGTGAACTAAACGTAAAATTTGGCCTTGTCACGTCTGTAGTTGTGAAGAGACGGCAATGAAATTAACCAACAATCATGATGCACGTGCAAAGTTGTTGTTGTGTGTTCATTAACCCTTTAAGCCCTAAGAGTGATCAGCATCGAATTTCTCCTTGTAATATCAATGCTTTGTAAAACAGAGTGGTCATGAGAATTACAGACATGATCACACAAGATGAATTTGCTTGATATTTTATTAACGTCTCCCCATTTCTTCTGTAGGAAAAAATAGGAGCAACAAATGAGAATTTAAAGTTTGATCTTAGGGTTTAAAGGGTTAAAACTGATGTTTTTGGACGTTCCCGTTATCGTCGCCGTAAGGTCCCTAACAATATAGTTGAACCTCAATTAAGCGGCATCCTTTGGGGTACTGGCAAGTGGCCGCTTAATGGAGGTTAGCCGCTCAATAGAACTTCGTCATAAATCAGCATAATCTTTAATATAATCACTTTATTTTGAAACAAAGCGTGACGGAGGAAGCATTACTGGGCAACAATTGGTCGCCACCTTCTATCTTCGGACTGTATTTTCCTTCATCATGTTCTTGAAATAAAGCCAAACCAAGTGTATCAAGCGCTTGATGGCCGCTTAATGGTGGTGACACTACAATGGAAGAACTTTCGTTGGGACTCCCAAAAGGTGACTGCAGCCGCTTAATAGAGGTATAATTCCCATTCTTTTCTATAATTATTTCGGGACTTTGATTATTGGCCGCTCAATGGAGGTTCGACTGTATTCTTACCCTGGCAACACGATCATCTCCGTAATGGCCCATTTGACTGCTTGTTTTTGTATTGTCAAACTCTCACTGGAATACCCAAGCATTCTTTACTTTTGTGTTACATTTTTGTGTTACATCTCTGACTTAACATCCCCAGCGACGGAGCTTAACTTAATAGTCCAGTTTTGAATTAGGTGTTACGTTTTGAGCTTGGGTATTAGAAAAATCCCTTTTTAGTCCGGTATTAGTAAATCAGAAGGAAAATAGTGTCAAGTCGATCCGCTTTATCGAGAAATTATAAGCGCACCTGTCGGTCGCGATGACCGTTGTGTTGTATCAAGTATAAACATATTCCCAAATCCGGAGGACAGACAGGGAGCAGTATACAAGATCAAATGCTGCGACTGCCAGGCTTCTTACATTGGTGAAACCGGCAGAAACCTAAGCACGCGACTGACTGAACACAAACGCGCGACGAGGAATGGTGACGTCAACAATCACATTGCTGAGCACCATTTAAAGACGAAACATCAAATTGACTGGGACTCTGCGATATGTATAACGTATTCTACAGACTACTATCAACGTCTTACTTTAGAAAGCTGGTTTACTAACTTAGAACAAACGCCACTGAATCGTAGCCAACAGTTACCAGCGCCGTACAAACGACTTATTGACGAGATCAAGCAAAACTATCTACGAGAGAACAACTGGAGAACTGAAAATTTGACTAACAATAGACGACTGTTTAACTGTGACAATAGACGGATCGAAACACACCAATCACTGATTACGAGTCTTCATAGCCAATAACATCACGGCTTAACTGACAGACGACCAATAACATCGCTACATAATTGACCAATCAGATCAATAACCAGAGTATAATACCATCAACTGACGTGATACAACTCACTTTGACTCTGAAGATGACTACCGCACAGGTTGTCGAAACGTCAGTCACTGTCAACAACAACAGTCCTATTCAGGACTACGTTCACCCGGACGATCAAACTCAACCTTTTGATATTCCCAAATGTTGCTTACAAAATTAAATATTTATGAAGTCATAAGGACAAATGGATCTGGCTTTTTAGGTAGGGACTAAAAGGCCTAATAAAAAAGGAGACCTAAGCGTGCGGGGAATTTTTTGCATAGTTCGTCAACATGCGAATCATATGCCATGATTTTGCTGAGAGTTTTACCTGAAGTTTTGGTGAAGAGACTGGGCTGTGTCTTGACCGGGCTTCCTGGCGTTACGCTTCCCCGTAACAGGCCTCGTCATTTTTCAAGGTTTGTCGTTTAAATGGAACCTTGTGTTCGATAAATAGAGGTCGGGGATTAATAAGTAAGAAAATTAATGGATGCCAAGAAATGTTTATTTCTATGAACCCAACTTGAGGCGTGCGTTATATCTGGACTCCCCCAGGTATCTGTGCTAGGCCCCCTTTGATTTACAGTAAGCATATGAGCAATCTTCCACTTCTCCTGGCTTCTCCTGAGGGCAACGCACATAACAATACGACACAGTACACTGACGTTTAGCCTGCAGTTCGTTCTTAACAACGTTGAAGATAAAATGTTTTTCAATGAAAGAAAAAAAAAAATGGCTGGGTTGTGGCGTCATCATGTAAAATGTCAAAGCTTCCATATAATCTCACTTACTGTATTACCATCAATGAATCTCGAATCAAAATGGAAAGTACCATAGGAAAAATTAGAGGGAGTTCATACTGGCGAAACGCTGCACTGGTTTATGCACTGTGTATCCTGCGACGTACTCGGCACAATTGACAAATGAGGCCCACTTAGCCCTCTATAATTGCCGTATACTGTCACTAATGGATTACTACTGAGTAGTGTAGGGTTAAACCTCACAGGAAAATCTTGACAGGTTTCATTGCCTCCAGAGAAAGAAACTGGACGAAAAAATGGATATGAATCAATTTTTTCGTGCTACATTAAAACTCGATTCAAGTAATTTGTAGAATTTATTGGAATCCTGTCTGTGAAAATTTTTATCCAATAAAAAGAATCTTAAAGGAACTTAGGTTTTCCTATTTTCTTTGCTGTGCGGATTGTTTACGGCTGAACATGAGAAAAGACTCATTTTTCACTTGTAACCAGTTCCCCCACGGTCAAGCTTGAGTAAGGCTGGCTCGAAAGTATCCCAGTCACCTAAGAAGGCTTTGGGTCCGGATAGTGAAGTATTTTTGGTAAAGCTTTTTTTCAGTCTATGATTAAAAGAAACCGCACCGGCGACACTGTACTATTTGTAGGAGAATTCACCGGTACAAAAGCATGCATGAAGATTCACCGACTACCAAAACCCGCAAAAACTCTAATGCTCTCACTAGTGGTTGGCTTGTAAGCACCTAATCCATATTCATGTAAATTTCGAAGCCTGCCACATGCAGAGCAAGATTTCAGATAAATTAAAACGTTGAAGTGTACGGATGAATTCCTCCCCGGCCCTGACTTCCTTAAAAGTTGGCCGCCAGGAAAATTTTAGGTGACGAAATGAACAAAACAATCTTACAACAACAGTTATCCATGTTTCTGTCGTTTTAACATCCCTTTTGCTGTAAAACGAAACTAGGGGGTCATTTCAAAGGAGGAGTAATACCTTTTTCTTTTTTCAAAATAAACGTTAGTGGTAACATCTATAAACCTGAAAGGCTGGTCTGGCCAGTCAAAATATTGTTTGAAAAGTTCAATACGCGTTGTTTCAACTGGGAAGTTGGACTACTTGATGCTTTATTTCTTATTGCTGGAAAAGATATCTAGTTGACGTTCGGTCTCCCACCCCGATTATGGCTCACCTACATAGCCTGTTCCATCCAGGCGTTCAGATGGTAGAGCGCGGCGGTCAGTGGACAGCGAGTTAAGTTGTCTCCCCTCATTTTTTTCTTCGTGAATTTGTCTCCTGCGCTCTACTATCTGAACGCCTGGAAAAAGACAAGCTATTTGGCGATTCTTGTTTATTTCCCTGACGCCCTTGAGCGCGTTTTACGAGTACTCGTGAAACGCGAGACGAGTGCCGTGGAAGCTCGCTCGCGAGACTCACGCGCCGGAGGACTGGGTCCTAAGACAAACCAATATGGCGACAAATCAGACTGTGTGACACGTTTGTAGTTAAAATTAATTGGACCCAAAGTGACATTATTTGGACTTAAGGGACTCGGATTTGATCTCCATCGTCTCTTTTACTCATTCTTTAACACTTGGCTTCATTTATGGCTTAAATGTTCACGAATGTGGCCAGTCAGAAGACGTCAAAATTAATTTGTCAGGTAAGCTTATTTGATTAGCTTAACCTAAATTCAAGGCTATTTCGCAGAAAATGTCGGTGTTGTAAGCACGTTATATTTAGGTAATATTGCTTAAAGGATAAAGCTTATGTTTTAAATCATGAGATAATTCTAGGTGTGCTCTTCCCGGACTTATAACCAACCCTGTCTGATGAGACTGGTCATGAAAGGCCAGATTCATCAAAGATAAAAACAACGGTGCTGCAGGTTATGTTAGTAGCTCCCTGACGGTGTGCGTAACCTCTTTTTTTGTTCATAAAAGAATTGTGACTGAAAAAATTGCTGTGAAGTTTTTATTTGTTTGCAAGATCAAAATGATAGGAATGCTGTTATTACATGTAAACATTGTGCACCGTCAAGTCCAAAAAAGCAAACAAAAACATGTAACAGAGAGGTATAGCAAGCTTCATAACCATTCCACTTTACTGTGCTTTTCACAAACACAGGAAACTCTAAAGTTAAGAGGCTGGGTTCACAATTGTGTTATTCGTTGCCTTCAATCTTAATTACGATCACAAGCAACAAACGTTGAAACACAGAAATGCACAAAACGTATCAAAGATCACAAACCATGACCTTTTGAACCCATTTAAGTAAAGTTCTGTTTCCTAAGAAGTCCTCCAAGATGGTTGACGGCAGAGTAAAACACAAGCATCAGTTGACTTTTGAACTTCAG